GGCCCCCCCCCTAAATCCGCTCATGCCTACCAGGTACCCACTTGTACTCCTGGATGGAGAGAAGCAACCGTAGATAAAGTGCCTTGCCCAAGAACAAGCAATTTGCACAGCGAGAGAAAACTCAGTGGAGGTGTTAATATATCTCGACTAAATAAATTATTCACTCTTTGTGAATTTTAGTCTTAAAATAGTGCAGTCAATACAAAACCGGACCAATTTCAGGATTCTCATTTAACGTAATAATTAAGTTATTAGAAATTCAACTTTTAATTATAATACAGTAGGCCTCATGAGTATTTGTACCTTGATCTATAGAACGCCGAATAACAAGATATTTCTGTCCATCGTCCTTACTAGATGTCTTCCTCGCTTCGGCAGCAGCAACCAATGTACCTTTTGGTGTAGCGATCAATAAAGGTATTCGATATGTATTCACTCCATTGTCACCTGATGACCAGAGTGTGTGTTGATATATGATCATAGGTCTTTTCTAAACGCATTAAAAATAAAAATAATATCATTAATTGTAAATGTAATGTTATAGAAGTAACAGATACATACATTATGAAGCATAAAGAATATTAATAGGCTAAAATGGAACGTTATTGACCATAAACATTTTATGTAAACGTTGCAGTGCGTAAAACAAATCAATACCGTAACAATTGAATGCAGGACAAACGAGTAGATACAATTCAGATCCCCGCCATTTTCGGGGCTTTGTAAACTCAGTGGAGGTCGTCTTTAGAATTAAAAGAGGAGGCATTCTACTTCATGGCGAAGGACTACATTAAGGTAAATTTTTTAAAATTAAAACAAAATTGAGAAAAAAGAAAATGCACTCAAATTTGGAGTCTGAGAATGCCATTTCCGGCCATCTAGACGTGCCATATAATCATAAATGTTCTGTTTACATAAATTTTAAGCATAAACATTTTATATTCAGTTTTATTTTACGACATTGAAATTGTTTCATGTTTGGAAATTACAACAGATCCATACTAAACATTTTAACGGGCGTTTAGGTCATGACCTGTGTAAATAGGGGCCTACTCAACATTTTTGCAATTTTGTAACTTTTTTTATTGTATTAAATTAAATGTCTTGGTTTTATATTATGTAGGCCTGTGTGACTTTTACGAACGCACCGCAACAGCGTGTGCCGCTGTTTTAAAAGCGTCGTTTTAAATAATGTTAATATTACTGAACAAATGTCGGTAATAGACATCCAGTGGATGTGGATGCTCCACAATCGGAGCTCGGCAGCTCCCAGAGATGCTCCTCAAATCGCTGTCGCAACGGTTACGTATACTTCTGACAATGGAGTAGGATGCTTCACATTGTAAATGGTGCAATCATGGAGGTATGGTGCAATGCATAGTTTTATATGGATATGTTGTGCACGGCAGATAAACTCCGGATAAAGCAATTAAAACCTTTAGCCTTGAAGTGTTCCATGGCTGTTTTTTACTGTACAATATATTACTTGCATTGTCCAGCTCAATGGATATATTCACAATACATACAAACAATATTGTATTCTGAGGCAGATACAAACACTTTGATTTCTTATTTATGTATGTATAACCACAGAGAAAGAAAATAGATGTATAACACTACTCACAATATACGCAAATGAATGAATAATAATTATATTTTCCATTTGTTCAAATTATTATTTTTCCATTTGTTTACATTATGTTCACGGCACTACGCAGCAAACGAGGTGGCGAGTAGATTGGCCGAGCGGTTAAGTCAGGGGCACCGTAACCTTCAGATCTAATATCGGCGTTAGTTCGAACGGCTCACTCGCCAATGGTTCCGGTGGTGGAACAAGTCTTCTCGGATCATAAGGACTTTAATCCGTAGGCCCAGTGTACGCATTTTGGCATTCGAGAAGAGTAGGGGGTTACCCCGGTGTACTGGTCCATTAAGTCCCCTGATGTTAAATGGATATGCCACGTAGGACAGTGATTAAGTTCACTTATTGGCATATTCTTGGGCCCTCGTGCCTAAAGAAATGAAATGAAACCCATTGAATATTATATAAATATAAATATTATATTACCAGAAAAATTACAGGTGCTGCATAGGCAAATAATTACGTAAATGAAATAGAAATATACTGTTAGTCTGTAATTTGCCACAACATTTAATATTGAAAATACGAATCATCGGTCGTCAACCATTATCAAGTTATAGGGAGAATACATAAAAAAGATTAGATATATACCGAAAAGGGTAGTTATTAAGTAAGTTATAAATTAACAAACAAATAAGGAGTTAATTGGTATGCAAAATAAAACAAAAGAACAATGAAAACGGCTCACCAGAAAGCCCAAAATATGCTGAGCAAAAAAAAAAAAAAAAAAAATGATCAAGTAGTAAAAGAATCACTTCTTTCCTACAGCTAGTGGCCACATCCCAATTTTCCATGGTAGCACTCCCTTCATCAGCTGCCCCCGCCCCTGTTAAAACTCTTCGATGCAATACATCGGTCGTCGACCTTTACCAAGTTATAGTGAGAATACATAAAAAAAGATTAGATATATACCGAACGGGTGGTTATTAAGTAACCAATACGGAGAAATCATTTAACAAACAAATAAGGAGTTAACAATTGGTACGCAAAATAAAACAAAAGAACAATGAAAACGAGATGCTTACGAATATATACTCTAACCACCCCCACTCCACACACATATAAGATAAGATAAGATAACTTTATTGTCCAATATATAAAATGGAAATGTGTTTCCTCTATGGCAATATAAGACATATAAACAGATAAAAATTTTTTTTAAAAATGTGAAAGTACAAGGTGAAATAAAAACAATTTTAAAATACATGATTGAGAGCACATGATTCTCAGGCGTTAGTTCCACGGTTTGCCACAAAAATAGAATTGAAATAGTTAAAAATAAAATAAAATGACAAAATTTTAACCCAGAGCAAGAGTCAATTAGATTTGCTGCTTCTTAAAATTGTTTAAAAAAAATAAATGTTAAAAGGGATAAGATATTAAAATTGATTAAAAAAGAGTAAGTACTAACGTATTGCATATTTATTATAATAAAAAATGATTCAGATATGAATGAGTTGCGGTATCTAGCTGCTAAGCGAACTCTTGGTACACAGAGCCTAATCCCTGAACGATTGACGTATGTATAATTATTGTGTGAGGGTGCGTAGTATCTTTCATTATTGCACTTAGTCTAAGCTCTACAAACTTTTCATATAATTCTTCCATTGTTTTCAGATCAATATCACGTCCTATAATTCGTTGATCTGCTCTAAATATTTTTGTTAATCTGTTTCTATTTAATTTAGACATATTACCGTAGAAACATACTAAGTCGAATAATAAAAGACTTTGAATAACTGATTGACAAAATAAATGAAGAATAGTTCTATCTACTTTGAATTGCTTAAGCTTCCTTAAAAATACAGTCATTGGTTTGCTTTTCATTGAGTAACTTCAGTTTGTTTATTCCAATTAAGTTTGTTGTCTATTGTACCGTACCTTAAGTGTACTTATCCACTTGCTCAGAAGCTCGCCATAAATAGTGAGTGGCATTTGGGCAGTGGGTTCTTTACGGAATTCTGTTATCATTTCCTTAGTTTTTTAAATATTTATTTTAAGATAGTTATCGTCGCAAATAAACACTTAACAAACACTTAACTAAACACTTAACAAATTTCGTTAATTCATTCAAGTAAAAAGCCTGATCGTTTTTCATATAGCCAGTTATAACAGTATATCATCCGCATATTTTATGTTTGAACAACCTTGATTATTGCTTTTACAATCACTTGTGTATAACGAAAATAATATAGGCATAGGTGAAAGGAACCATCCCTGCGGTACTCCAGTACAGGCACGTAGCCAGGATTTTGAAAGGGGGACACCCTCCCCCACGTAGGGGGGGGGGGGGGTTGTCCAGGGGAGAAGCCCTCTGGAAAGTAGCGCGCTCTGAAATTTGTAATGGTTGTTCTGAGATGATAAAGTTAAAATTGCAATAAACGCTCATAAATATTATTAGTAAGCCTAAAAATAATTATATAAACTCAACAGTGGTGGATCCAGGAAAGGTGACCCAGGGAGGGACTTTTACAGATTGAGGAACCACACACCTCAGCCCCACCATGGTTGGGGCTGAGGTAAGAAAATTTATGATTAGGGCACCTCTATAGATGGCCGGAAATTACACTATCAGACTTAAATTTAGATAGGGGGGCCTATATTTTTCTTTTTTTAAGGGGAGGGGCCCTTGAATCCACCACTTATCTTATTAATATGTGTGATGTACCATAGAAAATAAAGCTTATAAACATTGGTTTTGAGTAAGTACTTTACATACTCCAAAGCCGTGATTTCACAACCACCTCAGCCTCACCATGGTTGGGGCTGAGGTGCGAAAATTTGAGGAAATATTACCTCTAGATGGCCGGAAATGAAACTTTTATATAGTAAAATTCATCATCATCACATCACCATTATATAGTCAAAATGAAGCGCCAACAAATTTCTCATTATCTTTTATCAGGGATCTACTTAATATCCAAGACAACTTCGGCCTAAATATAGCTTAGTACTGTAAGCTTTAACTATAATAATTGTGATCAACAAATCACAACTTATTTTTTTGCCTTTAGCGCAATTTTCACTTTTTAATATTATTATTATTATCTATTATCACCATCGTGTTTAACATTTAGTTGCTTATGACATGCGGATCAGAGGCCTTGTTCACCTTAATGTCTGAGAATATCTTTCTGACTTCCTGTTCACTAACAATTATTTCAGAACATATTTTATCATTAAAAAAAATATAGGCCTACATAGGCAAGAGACGCTTTTTTTCATACAACTGAAATAAAGCTATGCTTGATACGATTTTTACAACATGTTCATTTGAGCACTGTTATTATTTATCTATTTGCTTATATATATATATATATATATATATATATATATATAATAAAAAAAGCAGTGTATGAATTTAAACTTAATGCGAGCTTTCTTCGATGTTATCAACGGTAGTCACTTCTTAGCGGTCACAACAGTGAGGTTCACTATGCATATTTATAAGCTACATTTTTCAACCGTGGCTTATGCATTATTCATAAGTGTTTAGCGAATTGAGGGGAATGTACAATAGCTGAGAAATGGAGCACAGTGCTGCCGTTACTATACTACTGTATCAATAAACTATGATATATGTCATGTATTTGTGGCCTGTCGAACCCTGGTAGTAAGCTTGGAGATTTTTTAAGGTAATGATTCAAATAGGAATTATCTTTAGTTTCATCAACCACTGGTGTTTCCTCTTGTCAAATTTTATAGTTTATACATACAATTGTCATTGTATATACATATATACTGTATTGTATGTATATGTATTTATTTATAACACCACAACAGTTTTCAAGATGTATTTACTGTTTGTTGTTCCAAACACACACACGCATATATATCTTCTGTTACGTTTAAATAAATATACTGTATATATATAATATATATATATAATGTTTAAATTATATATATATAATTTAAACATATTATATACAGTATGTAATTTAAACATATATATATATATATATATATTCATTATATATATATATTCATTATATATATATATATTCATTATATATATATATATATATATATATATATATATATAAAATGAATAAATGTAGTTGGCAATACTAGCAACGTATAGTGCTCGATACACGTGATAATGCAGAGCGTAAATATTGAAAGTATTGAAAATGTAGAACTTGTAGAACTGGGTATTATCACTCTACAGACTGTTTCATGCTAATGCAATCTTCAGGAGAGAGAGAATACAAGGGTTGTGCGAGTATATGAATGCTAAGACAGGTGAAAATGCAAATGAGTTAATTGTTTTTAAGTAGGTATTTGTTGCTGTGCCTGCATTTAGACAATAGCTCGGTTCTTTTGTTTGTTTGTCTGAATATATTATGTGAAGTTTCTCGGCTATGCGCAGGTTACAGCGTCGTTTTGTTTTTGGGGAGTAAGCCGATGCTCTGTCGATGATAGACCATTTAATGTTGTAGGGTGTGTTGCTATCTTTTAATTTCCATACGTATTTGGAGAGTACGGTGCTGTTTCTGTGTTTGGAGGTGTTAAAAGTGTATTTGTGGTTTGTGTATCGGGTTTTGAACGGTGTGTCAGTGAGCCCGATGTAGCATTTTTTGTCATCATCTGAGTAGACAGTGGCTTTGTAGATGATGGATGAGGTGAGGCAGTATAATCAAAGCCCACAACAAACAGCTTCTGGTTGCTAAGCAACAACAGCCAAAAACTCTCTGCAATTGCATGAAAAAAGATGAATGTCCACTCTCTGGAAATTTAAATATAAACATTTTCTTCATGGTTTTATTTATTACAATCATATTCTTTCACCATCAATACACAATGACGCCTTCTTTTAGGTTAAAACTATCTATCTTAAATTTGTCTTTCTTGAGTTTGGGACTGTTATGTGTTTAAATAACTTAAAATGATAAACATTTAAAAGCCCTAAAAAATGTGCGCGAAGCGCGCAAAAATTTTTTGTGTTTTTAATTCTAATTTCGTCGGAATTGATGAAAACTCCCTAAAATGTGCAAGTTATAGAGGAAATTGGCCTACCGTAACAAGAAATGCGCGCAAAGAATTTGAGAATTTTAGGCACTTTAATTCAGAGGATGCATTTGTCAAGGTGTGGGGAAAGATTTTCCAAAAATGAATATTTTCCCCTTGTCACCCGGTGTTTTTAATTCTAATTTGTTGGAATTGATCAAAACTCCCTAAAATGTGCAATTCTTAGAGGAAATTGGCCCATGTTAACAAGAAATGCGCGCGAAGCGCGAGAAATTTGAGGTTTTTAGGCACTTTCAGGGGATGAAAAGGGCATTTATAAAGGGGTGGGAAGATTTTCCAAAGATAGATATTTTCCCCTTGTCCCCCAGTGGTTACGCCATCGGGCAGCATAGATCAAAGGAGTTTTTGAAGTGGAGAAGGGGTTGCAGGGTGTTGTGAGTCTGGTCATTATGATATCTTCCTTTTTATTC